GAGGAATATGAGAATATTTTTGATGTAAGTGGCTCCAAAATAACTGACAAAAGTGCTTTCACCGAAAATTAAAACACTGAAGTTGCTTAAGAGTTCATTTCTTTCCTCTTTTGCGGTGCAATTTCTTTATCCTTTCTCCTTATTTATGAGTTTATTTCACCATTCTCCTTTATTTATGGCGTTTATCTTTATCCCATGGGATACCCTTTCATCTCTCTCTGCATTTATCTTTATCCCATGGGATACCCTTTCATCTCTCTCTGCATTTATTTTCTGTCTGTTTGTTCAAGACTTCCTTTTTCTCATGAAAATATTTTCTGTTTATTGACTTGGTCTATCCTACTATCGTACATATTTGTTGAACTAGCTCTGTCCTTTTACAGAATTTACTGTGATGGTTGAGCTTAGCTGTTTGTTGCCTTTGCTTACAGGACGATAATCTTCATAGGTGCTCTATTTCAGCAGATTCTCAATTTGGAAATAGTGGGAGTGAAGACTCGTCAGATGATGAAAATCTGGATATGAAGGACAATGGTTATCATGATGCTGAAAATGAGGTTGACCCAGACACCGACGATGATTGTGAGCGTGTATTGAGTGGAAAATTAAGCGAAAGCAGTGGCTCTGCTGCCAGTGATCTCTATGATTATAAGGTTCTTGTTCTCTCTTCCTCTTTCCTGAGACATGAATAAAGTGTTTCCGTTTTCCACTGCACTTACTGATTTCTTCTTTTCTCTTTCTCCATCTTCTTCATTTATTATTATTTGGAGTTGTATTATTTACTGAATCTGAACTGTTATGACTACCTTTTTTATTTTTCTGAGAGCAATTATTCCATTAATATGATTGTGGATGATATGCATGCAAAAATAAAGAATCTGGAGACAAATATAATTCTGTGAAAAACACACCCACTTATCCTTGATAATCAAATCTCGTAGGTGCTCGAAAAATTCTGTTCCGTTGTTCCTCTCTTTTCAACTCGTACACATAATTGTCAGTGACCACTTCCCATACTTTACTTCTTCTCCTCTTCCTTCTAAATATCTAGCCTGACGTCAAATGTTTGATAGTAGCTGGCATTACCAATTAAATACTAAACATATTTCATACTCTGCTCCAGAATACAGCCTTCCCAATCTCCTGCACATAAAGCACCAATTAGCATGGATTACCTTCCTCTTCCTCAATTGTTTGACAGTAGCTGACATCAAATGTTTGACAACATATTCCAAACTGTGTTTCACAAATGCATCCTTCCAGTCTCTTCCGCATAGAGCACTAAGTGGCATGGAGTACCGTCCTCATTCTCAAATCCTCGGCTATGAGTGTGGCTTCTCTCGTTGCTATCCAAGCTAAAAGTAGACATTTATAGGTGCTCTAGGACCAAATCTAAGAGTAGGCAAGAGGTATCTCCCTACTCAGTAAATTGTGATAAAATGATTTAACTATGAATAGTCTTATTAGGATAATTTGTGTTGGAATATGTGCAGTACATGATTTGTTTATATTTGTTATAGTCAAACCAACATAATAAATGAAGAAGTTTGGTGCATATATGTCTGCCAACTATTTAAAAATTAGCTACTACTGCATTTATTGCAGTCAATTCGTCCTACGGCTCTTTCTGTACGAGGATATAATTACTCTGGTTTGTGTCAGCCTGAATTCTGCTAATTTCTTATATGGACCGTTGGCAACTAGAATTTCCTGCCCTTGGTGTATTAGATTTCTGCAGATATTTATTTAGGGTGTGCATTAATTTGATATGCAGGGTTTCGGCGGTGATGATTCAGATGTTGGATCGCCTAGGGATAGTCGTGTACAAGGAGTGACGTTAAAACCAACTGTAGATACTCAGCCCCTTGCAGGTTCTAATGTTCCATTCAGCGAACAGCTGGAAAGATGTGGAAATGAGGTTGATGTTCCTTGTGAATTAGCTAGTAGTGAGTCTCAGCGGTCTATGGGTGAAATACTCTCATCTAAGGATCCTGGGCCACCTCATGGTGTCTCCGGACCTGATTCACGTGCAGACAAGACTAGCAGCAAGCTAACTCCTTCTACCCTGAATGTCAAAAGATCAACCTTTTGGGGGAGAAACAATGTGAGTTTTGACTTTTGTCAACTGATTTCACTTGAACTATTTAATTTTTGTTGCTNTCACTCCCTCCCTCCCCCTCTCTCTCTATCTCCCGTGGGGTCTAGAGAAACTTGTTCCATCTAATTGAGTGTTAATACGAGAACTTCCTTTTTAACAACAACAACAAACCCAGTGTAATCCCATAAGTGGGGAATATGACAACTTCCTTTTACTTAAATTAGATAATTGAAGATTGATGATTAACAGATCTCTCTGTGGCATCAATTTGGATATTTACTTCCTTATTGTTTTTTGTTTTGGGTGTTAGGATTGTTCTGTACAAACTTGTGCTCTCGTGAAGTGTCCAAATATTCGTCATTAATGTTCTATGACAAACTTGTTCTTTGTTTTGGATGTGATGTCCTTATATGTGTGTGCGCCTCTCTATATTTGTATGATTCACATTTTTCTGGATTCAGATCATACATTCAATACTGAAAGATAAAATGCTTTATCACTTTCAGATTCTATTACATTAATGAGTTAGTTTAAATCTTTTGTCATTCCATTATTATTCAATGTCCATTCCATTATAGTTGTACTATACCAGCCATCTATTTCATATTTTGTATTTCGTATTCTGTATTTCATATTTTATATCTCTTATATATTGTTGTTATTTTTATTACGCATTTTTATGGTACTAATATATCATCTCCTATTGCTTTTTTGAGCCGAGGGTCTCCTGGAAACAGTCTCTCTACCCTTCGGGGTAGAGGTAAGGTCTGCGTACATATTACCCTCCCCAGACCCCACTTGTGGGATTATACTGGGTCGTTGTTGTTGTTGTTGTTGTTGTTGTCCTTTCTAATGTGGGCCATGATGACTTGTCGATAGGCTCGCTATACAGAGACTTGAGATTACCAAAAATGACTTGCGCCATAGGATTGCGAAGGAAGTAAGTTACATCAGTAGGCCTTGACCTCGTAATTCATCTTATCATTCCTTTTTTCTGAGACCATTTACCTTAAACTTTTGCTAGGCAAGAGGAAATGCAATTCTGCAGGCGAGCTTGGAGAGACGGAAGCAAGCCTTGCATGAGCGCCGCTTGGCTCTTGAGCAAGATGTATGATTTATTTCCCGTGTAATAAATTCCTAGAAAGCCTACAAATAATTGTGTATTTTCAAGCTAACTTCTTCCTTTTTCCAGGAGGGTCTCTGTTTAAATATGTAGTGGCTGCACTAGATTTACATACATATATACTACTACAAAACCATACACTTGGCGACCTCTTTCTTTTTTGTCATTTATACCCTTTTTTGGGGGTGATTATTTAACCTTTCCCATACAATTTCATTCCTTTCTATTTGATCTAACTTTTCTTAGTCATTTGGTCACTGTAGAAAATATAGCTGGGTTTCTCTTTGATAAACTACTTCTCCTTCTATGTGTTCATTCTAATTTATGATGTGCTGTGCACTTGTAGTTGATAAAACTTTTTGCTCCACAAGCTTCTATGCATCTTCTAATGTGTAAGATACTGTGTGATTTTGTTGAAGGTTGCAAGACTACAAGAACAGCTACAAGCTGAGAGGGATCTAAGAGCTGCACTGGAAGTTGGTTTGAGCATGTCTTCCGGACAATTGTCGGGCTCTCGTGGTATGGATTCCAAGGTTTGTATTGATGATTCGGTAGCTTTATATTGTTCATGTTTTGGTTGATTTTGTTATGTTTCTGAAAGGACTTGTACTTTCTTAAAGACTAGGGCTGAGCTCGAAGAGATAGCCCTGGCAGAAGCAGATGTGGCTAGATTAAAGCAGAAAGTTGCTGAGTTGCATCATCAACTTAATCAGCAACGGCAGCATCACTATGGCTCACTATCTGATGCTTGTGATCGACTTCAACATGGGCAAAACCATAATTCTCAACTGTAAGTTTTGGAATAGTCTTGAATGTTTTCAGGCCCCTTGCTTCAATTTCATGTACTTCTTGGTTGCATGCAGCCATTAACAATGTACTCCCTCCGTCCCACTCTATGTGGCACTCTTTTCTTTTTAGTCAGTCCCAAATCTTTCCTTATTTAGAAAAAAATTATTTTTAGAATTCCTACTTTAGCCTTAATGACTTGATTTATGGCCACACAAATATCTATGGTTTGTTTTAGACCACAAGTTTCAAAAGTCTATTTTTTCCCTAAACTCCGTGCCTAGTCTCACACTACCACATAAATTGGGATGGAGGGAATACTTATTATTTATGAAGATTTCTTCAATGGATTTCCAACTTTTCATCATGTGCATTTCAGTTTGATTAAACATTTAAATGATGATCTAAGCTATTAAAACGAACGAAAAAAAAATTTTGTCCATGTATTTTTGTTCCAAGCAAGGAATAACTTAACACCACTGCAAGTGCTAGTGATAGTGCCTTTTTTCTCATGTACTATAGCAGAAGATGGTGGAGAAAACGGCAAAAGAAGGAATAATTTGGTCTATTTTTAGGAAAAGAGGATCGATGTGTCTTAATTAGTGAAAATGTGTGATTTTGTTGTGGATCAAGGAATAACCTCATGTTAATTACAGTGACGGCTTGAGCAAGTTTTAAGCTAGTGAAGCATTATGGTTTAATGTACTCTGTGTCATTTTATTGCACTGTCTGTTCCCTTTTCTGTTACACTATTTAACTGAGCACAGTCTTATATGTTAATCTTTTCATATAAGTAATGATGTCAGAAAATAATTATATAGTACTTGAAAGATTTGCTTGGAAGAGAAAATACAACATCAAAGTTTAAATTTTAATTGTTAAATGAATCTAATGTTCTGAAATTTGTATGAGATAATATTATGACTAGATAGGATCAAATACGTTAGAAATCCCAAAATGGAAACAAGTGTCTTGCAAATTGGGATAGATAAGTAATAATCCGGCTGAGAAGTGATTGTTCTTTGACTTGTAGCTGCAAATGTAGATAAGTTTTAGCTGGGGTGGAGGGAGGAACAATTTATTCAGCTGTGGAAGTTGGGTTTCTTTTGGTGTCCAACAACTAAGCCATTATTAGGCATTACGGAAATAAAAACAGGCAATAGTTTTCTTCTGAGATGGAACAGTTGGATATGTGCCTATTATTTAAGCTTGGATATTTAGCATCTGGTTGTGGGTACTGCCTCCATGTTACAACACCGCAACACATTGTTTTTTCCCTCGTCATAGAAATTTAGAAAGTGTTCAGCATGAGATGTTGGAATTACATTTCATCTTTGGGCATGCATATTTGAAAGAATTGGGGGGAGATTGAAGTGAAATCATCTTTCATCTAACACGTTGTTGATAAATTTTTCCTTATGAAGTGTGTTTTTATCTGCAGGAAGTATTTTCAGCAAGATTTTGACGCAACACTTGCTTTCTGTAATCATGAAAGAAGACAAAGAAGTGAGGTGATTTTTATCATTTGTAGTTTAATAAGCATAGTGATGGGTATACACATTTTATTACACAATATTGGCTCATACATAGAGGTTAACTTGCAGCATCATATCTGTGTCTCGACCTGGATCTCAGAATTCTTAATCACGCTGTAATTGGCGTTACATCTTCTTATCTGTGCTCTTAAGCTATATATCTTGCTTCTTCCTGTAATTTTGTATGATAAGCACTCTGTAGTTGGCTTCTTACTTCTGCTACTCCCTAACTTGTCCCTCCCTCTTGCTTCTTTTTTGCTTAATCTCATATCTTCATTGTTTTAAGGATTTTGAGTTGGAGACACTGCTTTTTTTGTCTATAAGGGAGCAAATTTTAAACCCCTGCCCCGTATATTTTATGAGTGCTTTACTTTTAGTGCTACATGAGCTATAATTTGAGAACGTACAGCTAGTAACCATGGGATTCGCTGAAAAACCATGGAAGATCAATCTTTACATAAATATATACTTCGATTCACTCAAAAGCTCTTTCGACCTTTACCGCTATTGCATCAGTTCCTCTTCTTTTCGTACCTGAAGATGTGAATGTCAACTCTCTTCCCATTTGTGCAGATATCCACCTACAAGCTGTGAGAAATTACTCTCTTGTAATTGGTGGAATAACTTCTTACTTTGTTCCATGCTATAGTTTTATAGCTTGTTAGATCCATGCACATGTCTTATGCCGAGATTAGACTTAGGAGCTGAAACAATGATAGCCTCGTATATTCTGTGGGTGTGAGGTTTATATATTGAAGTTCATCACCTAATGACAGATATTCAGGCGTATTTATTATCTCTAGTAACCACTAGAATCTGCAGGAAACTTAAAAGGTTTTTAAGCATTTAAACTAATGCTGTTAGAGCTGAACTGTTGGGCCAAAAAAGCCTCTTTTTTTTTCCTTTTGTCAATGAAAATTATTTGTAAAAAGGATAGATGCATATCTTCTTGAAATTCTGACCTCAAGGTAGTAAATCACTATTTTCATCCAATATTCTTCAGTTGTGTATAAATTTTCATAAATGCTAAAACTTCTGAAATTAATGCAGGAATTTCTGGGTGCAGATATGAGGAATGTTAAAGGACAAGTACTGAAATCTGGCCCCAGCAGTAGACAACCTGCTCGAAAGCTATTTCTTGATACAACCTTAAGTGATTCCAAGAGTACTGAGGCTTCAACTAGTTTATCCTTGGATGAACTCGGTGCCATTGATTCTCCTTCCGTGCATTCTACTTCAAGGACCGCTGAGGTAACATAAATAAAAGCTTCTGCTGTTTCTCGTTCTCAACAGCTCATGAGCAAGCGGTCACACTATAGGCTACAATGCAAACTCATGCACACTTGGATGACTCCAACGCTATAGAAATGATATAACATAATTTGGCAGGATTCCTTATATAGGAATTCAGCCAGCATGGTTTTCTCTTATCACTTTTTGATTTAGCAACATCAGGCTTGTTGTTTAGTAACTTTGTTAGATCATCCTTAACTAGAGGTCTCGAATTCGAGCTCTAAGAATGGAGTCGTCTTTGAGAGAGCACTAAAACCTCCTATAGTGGGTTTTCTATGGCATGAATCTGGATTTAGTCGAACTTGTGTTAGATCTAGCTTCAATACATTGATCTATATGATGATTGTGCAGATACGATTATTTTGAACTTCACTGTTATGTTGTGATGATCTTTGACGATGAATTTAGCAGGCGATGGATTATAGCCAACATCCCTCAGCTGCATCTTCCACTTTGGTAGAATTAACAACGCGTCTGGACTTCTTCAAAGAAAGACGGTCACAGCTCATGGAGCAACTCCATAACCTCGACTTAAACTATGGATCAACATCTCAAGACTTTATGTACAAACCTTCATCTCCGTCATGGAACTGACTAAAATTTTTGTACGAGGCACGTGAAGGGAAGCAGCCGATATCTCAGCATTTGTACATCCTCTGTATCATAGCATATAACTCTCTCATGTACTTTATGTACTACCAGATGTACCCTTTTGTTTCTTCCACTTCTTTTCTGGTTTTAGTTATATCATTCATTCTGAATTACACCGAAAAAATAAATAAATACTTTTTGCTGTATAATAGTAGGACATGTGTCTTACCGAATGGAATTTGAAAAGCTCGGGCGACATGCTTCGAATCGACTAAAATTTTGTGGGCCCACAAGGTAGATGGCGTGGGCTATAATGGATACAGTGAAATCAATCTTTTTTTCACACTCCCTCTCACTGGCCTGAAACATATACAAATCATGAATTCTTCAGAGCGGGCAGGCAGGCCGGGGGTATGGGGACCGTCGAAGCCATGGATAGAGACTTAGCCCCTGCTTTATTTAAACAGCAAAGATAAGGTTTAAGACCGTCTCTTCTTTTCCACATCCTCATTCCTCCTTTCCGAATACTTAAGCTTCTAGTGCTGCAGAACCAGCTTTCCCAATCAATCAATTAAAATTAATGTGTAGGAACCTGCCCTCATCAAACTGATCTGTTGCACAATAGTCATTGTTTCGCCATGACCGGTCCATAAAGTAGGAATTCAGGATGATTTTTACTTTTTTGTGTGCTAATTTCCCCCTCTATTTTCATGAATTAGGTCGACGGCTTTGAATTGCATAAAATATTGTGGGCCCGTTAGAAATAACCTAATGAACGATAGTCATAGTTTTGTCGATTGTTCCTCGTTTTTGGGCATATTAGGGGCCATAAAAAAGCAATTCAGGATGATTCGCCATAAAAAGACATTTGTCACTGTATTCCAATGACTTACGAATTCGGGTGATGGACTCCGTATCAATTTAAGGATATAAAATAGGAATTCAAAACGATTTTAAATTTTTTGTGTGCTAATATTCACACCATTTTCAAGAATTCAAGCGATGAGCTTCGAATCGCCTAAATTTTTTTGGGCCCATAAAAAGTAATCTAATGAAGAACAGTCATTGCTTCGCCTTGACTGTTCTTCGTTTTTTGGTGTTTAATGCCATAAAACAGGAGTTCACAATGATTTCAAATTTTTCATGTGCTAATATTCGCGCTATCTTCATGAATTTGGGTGATGAGCTTCGAATCACCTAAAATTTTTGTGGGCTTATAAAAAATAATCTAATGAACAGTAATCATTGCTTCACCATGACTGTTCTTCGTTTTTTGGCATTTATTGCCATAAAAGAGAAGTTCAGGATGATTTCAAATTTTTAGTTTGCTTTAGTCTACGCCTTCTTTATGAATTCAGGTGATGGACCTCGTATCGCCTAAAATTTTGTGGGCGCAAAAATGACCTAATGAACAATAGTCATTGCTTCTCCATGAATGTTCATCTTTTTTTTTTTTTTTTTTTTTTTTTTGTTTT